TCGTCCATATTTTCCCAATCCAATGAGATGCAAATCATGCCAGTATTTAGGGCACACTGCAAAACATTGCAGAAACAATCCCACATGCGTCAATTGTGGTCTCCCTCCCCACGTCCCCGACGTCTGCACACAAACTAAATGTGTCAACTGCTCACAAGAGCACCCCGCCTCATCAAGGCAATGCCCAAAATTTGTACAACAAAAAGAAATCCTACAAATCAAAACAACAAAAAAATGTACTTTGCGTGAAGCAAAAGCAATCTTTAGAGCGAATGCCCCAAAGCCCATTGATACCGCCAGCTACTCCTTTATTGCAGCTGACACACAAAAACAGCAAACTCAAAGCCAAGCAAACACACAAAACAAAACTAAACTAGTACCCACAACAACTACGAACCCAATTTCTCCCTTCTCAATAACACCGAACATACCAAACTCTCAAAATTTCACTCAACAAAAAACACCTGTTACGCAGCAACACATCGTAGATGAGTTTATCAGCTCTCTTTCCACCACAATATATCCACCACACTCAATATCAATAATATCGCAAACCAATGATCACAATAAAGATAACAATACACACCTCGTCTCTCTAAACCCACCAATATCAATCTCTCCTACAGAAGAACTTAATGACAACGATTGCGCATCTCTTTCTGCGGCATTCTCCAATGGGGAACTCTCTTGCTTAGGAAAAAACAACTTATAACGCCCTTCTCCCTCCCATGTGTATCTCTATACTACAATGGAATATGAACGGCTACAACAATAATTACCACGAACTACTACTAATTATAAAAGAACAAAATCCCGACGTAATATGTATACAAGAAACACACTTTCCTTTCAATACACGTAATTTTTTCTGCCCGAACAACTTCACTGGGTATTTTTGTAACTTAGATACGAACCTAAGTGCTAAACAAGGCATTGGTATCCTAATCAAAAAACATATCCCACATGAAGCTTTAAATATTAACTCTACCATATGCACACTGGGGATTGAGATACGCCTTAACCCTAAAGTGACTGTGCTCAATAGCTATATACCGCCACAACAAAGTTTCTCATCCAGAGAACTGCTTAAATTTTTGACACCAATAAGTACGCCAATTATATTGACTGGCGATTTTAACTCCTGGAGCCCACTCTGGGGCTCGCACGACGTTAACTCCAGGGGCAAAATACTAGAAGATGTCATCCTCTCAGCCGATCTAGCTGTACTAAATAATGGTTCACCCACGCACTTATCTACGCACAGTTCTTTTACCCATATTGATTTGACTTTAGTCACACCCAGTCTCATGCCAAACTGTGAATGGAAAATATCGAAAGATCTTCACGGTAGCGATCACTACCCGATAACCACTACCTTTCAGACTCAATTTAAAACTGAAAAACGTGCAATATCGGTGAAATTTAAAATTGACCAAGCTGATTGGCACAAATACCAGGCGAACTGCATAGAGCGTTTCACTTTCGCAACCACTTCTGATGTCAACCTTCTTGCGGCAAGAATTACCAAAGCTATTAAAACTGTTGCAAATCAATCAATCCCTCAAACAAAACCTTGCCGCCAGACATGCACAGTGCGTTGGTGGAACCAAGAGCTAAATAAATTAAGGCAAGATAAACAAACTTGTTGGAGTATTTATAAAAAAACTGGGACCATACCTAACTTAATTTCATACAAGAAAGCCAATGCCATTTTTAAAAAAGCAGCAAAGGCTGCCAAACGTGCTTCCTTTGAAGAATTTTCGGCCAAAATATCACCTACGTCTAGCATAAAAAAAGTCTGGCATGACATAAAATCTATAATCGGTATCCCATCACACACTATAGTATCACTGGAAAAAGACCAAAAAGTCTTCACCACCACTTCCGAAATAGCGAATGCCTTTGGCAGCCATTGGTCCCAGTACTCCAAAGATGAAAATTTCTCTAAAGAATACGTTGAAAACAAAAACAGAATACTCACGCAGAGATATAATCCCAGCAGATTAACGTTATCTGCGAAGCACCTAGAATATGACTTTTCTTTCACAGAACTTGAATTAGCCTTACAAAGTGCAAAAGGTAAAACGCCTGGTTATGATCGCATTTCCTATCCAATGCTAAAAAATTTGCCACAAAGTGCGAAAATTAAACTTCTTGAGATGTATAACCTTATGTTAAACAAAGGCAGCTACCCTCACAGCTGGCGATCGGGAATCGTAGTCCCTATACCGAAACCAAACAAACCCTCACATGAAGTAAATAGTTTCCGGCCGATATCACTACTATCATGCCTAAGCAAAGTCGCTGAGAAAATGCTCGCAAAACGACTACTATGGTACATAACGAAAAATAAATTTATCAGCCCTAATCAAACCGCTTTCAAGTCAAAACATTGTACCATGGATTCTCTGTTGCATCTTCAACACTACGTGTCTGACGCTCTTTCAGCTAAAAATCATGTAACCATTCTGGCTACTGATTTTGAAAGAGCTTATGATCGCGTGGGGGTGCATGCTGTACTTCAACAACTCGCCAGCTGGGGTGTGGGTCCAAAGACTTTCAATTTAGTAAAGGCTTTCATGACCGGACGTTCCTTTCGCGTTAGAGTAAACAACACACTGTCAGATTTTTATACATTATACAATGGCATCCCACAGGGATCCCCACTATCAGTGGTATTATTTATGATCGCATTTGAACGATTAAATAATGTGATTCTTAAACACAAAAATATTGAAGTGTCTATTTATGCAGACGATGCTTTGCTCTTTAGCAAGATAAATGATACAGTAGCTTTAAACAATACATATTTAAAAATACTATGTGATATCAAAGAATGGGGCAAATTCTCAGGAGCAGCTTTAGCGATTAATAAATGTAAAATCTTACATATTTGTAAAAAACACCACTGCAATTATCCTCCATTGATATATGACAATTGTACTATTGAATTCACTGACAACCTTAAACTACTAGGTGTAATTTTTGATAAAAGGTTTACATTTAAGCACCATTGTAAGTACGTGAGAGAAAGTCTAAACAAACGCCTCAACATAATTAGATTCCTTAGCTCCAGGCGCTCGATGGTTCATCCGACAATATTAACACAAGTGACTAAGGCTCTTATGCTGTCCAAGATCGATTACGGGTTACCGATATACGGATGGTGTGCAAAGTCAAACATCCGACTTCTTCAATCCCCATATCATACGGCTGCCCGGCGGAGTATTAATGCCTTTCCAACCAGCCCCACCAAATGTATACTAGCTGAAGCGGGACTGCCATCAATCTCCGAAAGAGTTCTACAAACAACGCTCAAACTCATACCAAAACTTTTGTGCACAACCAACACCATTCTTCGAAATGACGTAAAGAAAGCAGCTAAGAGCGTACGAAAGTTTAAGGTGACATCCACCCTACGCAGAAGTATATCTCTCTGCAAGCAATACGACATTGCTACGAGCTCGCGTAATAGAATCAGCCCAACAGCTCCCTGGCTGCTAAAGCATTCATCATTCAACACGGTACTCCAGCAGTATAGCAAACCAACTACCAACTCTGCAATTTACAAAAAAATATTCGCGAAAGAGGCAGCTGAACTCAACGCAAACAATTGGCAATGGTTATATACAGACGGATCGAAAAGCGAATCAGTCACGGCATTCGCTGTCATCAATTCCAAAGGAGCCGACATATCAACAGGCATACTTCCATCCTACTACTCAGTGTTTTCAGCTGAAGCAGTCGCAGTATTTGAAGCGGCAAAATATGCGCAGTCCAACAAAGGAAAATTTGTCATAGCCACTGACAGCCTATCAACCATCTCGGGAATACAAAATATTTACAGTAACAATAGTTTACTCGCCGAGATACGCGAGATTTGTGTCAAATCTCCCAGAAAAATCAAATTGATGTGGGTTCCCAGTCACAAAGGAATACACGGCAACGAGCTTGCTGATACTGCTGCCAGAAACGCTAGTATACGCCCCTGCCACATGATTGTCCCTGGCATTGAAAAAGATATTTTCAACAAAATAAAAATGATCAACCAAGAAGTGGAGTCAAATGAGTGGTCGTCTTTCAACCACGCATATAAAGCCATCAACCCATACAAAAACAGCATCCGCTTCCCAGCCGACTTAAATCGCCGCGACTGCAGTGTGGTAACCCGTATGAGAATTGGCCACATAAAAATATCACACTCACACCTCTTAACCGGAGAAAATAGATCAATATGCCCAAGATGCGGACTAACCCCAACCGTTACACATCTACTGGATGACTGTAAGTCACTGGACAACATCAGGCGTCAACACTTCAACTCAAAAACACCGTCTTCGCTACTTAAAGATATAAACTCCTCGAATATTAATATTGTCACGTCATTCCTTAAATCTGCCAAGTTATACCACCTTATATAAGGCAAAGCATCGCTCGTATAATTAATGAATAGAAATTTTTTATTTTTATTTTTTTTCCATATACATATGTACACTAAGCTTAATTCAATTTCGCTTGTAATATAGGGTCGATGGTCTATGCAACTAGTACCCATAAGTTTCCTTTTTTTTTAATTAGTTATAATATTATAGTAATATGTATTATAATTAATTGTTGTAAATAAATAAATAAATATCATTTTTCGAAAATACCGTTATATGGGAAGTGGGAGTGGTTACAGTTCGATTTCGCGCATTTTCAGTACCAACCTACCTTGGATACAGGGAAACCTACATGCCGAATTTCGTTGAGAAAGCTCAATTTTTGCTCAAGTTATCGTGTACACGGACGGACAGACGGACGGACAGACAGACATGGCTTAATCGACTTCTCTATTCATTCTAAACATTTATGTATACATTTGTCTATATCTATCTCGATTCGTTTTGGCTGTTACAAACGACCGTTATGTGAACAAAGCTAATACACCCTTGTGCACAAGTGCGCTCGGGTATAGAAATTAATATAAAATTACATTTCATGCTAACTTTCTTTTCCAGAACTGTCGCAACCAATAAATTTGCTTTGGGAAATCAAAATGTTATAGTTATATACGCACAATTATACCATACGGTATACAAACATAGCTTCTGGCTTGTAATGGAAAACTGAACCACGATCTTAGAGTCGAACAGAAGCTTGAAATACACGTGCATAGATATGTATTAATGTAAGCCTACGAAATGCTCTTCAAACGCATTTCATCCATTAATTTACGAAGTAGACAATATGAACGACGAACGCGGCTTCCATCATCAACGAAGACCACCTGACGTCGAAGAGGCGCTTTCGTCCATGCTTTGGAGGCCATATGAGCGTAACTCTAGTGATAGTTCCTCCGACGAAGAAGATCAGAAGGGGCGGACCAAGCGGTTGCGTAAACCCCATAGCTATTATGAGCATCGAATCACCTACGAACCATTTATATCATCATACTTTGGTGATGATGACCAGTTAGAACCAACAGTGGCGATAACAACAACCCCGGAAAGTGCAACCAGCACCCTGCAATCAATACCTTTTGTGCCTTTTTCCAATTTTTTCTACGACAATGTGAACAACGACGATACATCCGGAAGTAGTCAGTGCGAACTCAAAGTATTTGAGTCTAATCATAAAGAAGCTGGAATATATAAAGACCGTTCTTTCCGATTCTCATATCCGTACTATGTCCCAATTCCCAGCCTTAACAAATGGTGGTCTGCGTCAACTACCTCAAAGGAGCCACCTTCTTATGAATCTCTGTACGTGAAGGATTCAGCAACAGCGGTGGTACTCGATACTGATGACACAAGCTCAAGCTGTCAAGCTGATACACTGACAGTATTCCCTGACGGGCAATACGATTCTCTCAAATGTGATAATTATAAGGAAGAGCCAACTCAGAGAGAGGACTTTTTAAGTTTGAATCAAGAGGTAAGTTAAATACATAGAAGCATGTATATGTAGCACATGTACATACATACACACCCAGCAAAAAACACGATTATCACAGAAGTTAAAATGGAATCGAATTAGGCGATGAGAATCGCTTACTTTTTCGCTTCAAGAAGACATTATTTTAACATGAGCATGTCATTGGCCGTAAGCCCTTACCCATAGCATTACCTTCGAATGAAGGGAGAACGAATGGATAAACAGAATCCAGAGAAGTGACAAAAAATGCTTTACAGAGAAACTAATTTAGAATGCCTAGAAAAGTACATACTTATGTACATACTAGGAATGTTAATCCCGGGATCCCGGACTTTTTAAGGTCTCGAAAATCCCGGGATTCTTGGCAAGTAATCCCGGGATTTTCGTGATTTGTGATTTATTTAATAATTAATATTTTGTTATAAATGTCTAGCTCATTATACATATTACACCGCGCGATAGTAAATTTTAAACACAAATATCAATATCACAGCATACGGCAGTGCACGTGAGTGACGAAAGCATCCACAGTAGCTTGCTCAAATGACTCGCTTATATATACACGAGATTTGGAAGTTTTTATCCCGACATCCAATCGACATGTTTTATATATTGTTGGAAAGGTCTTGCAGAGTGTGTCCAGAAAATGTATGTAATGTCAAGCTTCATAAACGATTAACCGGATTCTTAAAAATTAGGCTAAAGTGTTGCGAAACAAAAAATGTTTTATTGCTTTTGTCGGTTTAAGGGAGCATGTGGGTACACCCAACATATTTAGTGTTATTCTATAGGCCAATACCTTTGAAACGATACCTTATATATTAGTTTCCGGCTACTAATTGGAAAGATATAGAGGTAAACGTGTTTTGGTTCGTGTCTCCACTACGAGATGCTTTGGTATGTATGGTCTGTACGTACCATTATTTAATTTTTTCAAACTTTCAGGAATTAAAGTACAAAAAAAACTAAGAAGGTTTTGTACCAGGATGTTTTGATTCGTATGCCTTTGTGGGCGTGGCTGCTGCCTGAAATTCGAAAAAAGGCAATTTTTTAAACTACCACTGAGGCCGCATTACTCAGTCCATGACATTGATGTGGATATCACTAGAAGGGTCTTCAAACAAGCTATCTGATGCTATCTTTTGTGTTTTTATCGCCCGAAAACTGAAAATCGGGCTACTGAGAATATAGATTTCGGGCATTTTCTCAAAAACTGGTCAGTCGATTTTATTCTATGTTTCCACAAATTTAGCTTAAAACCTTAGTTTACATCTGGTATATAGCTTATATCTGGGTAAACTCTTGTTGTGGTGATATTGCGATTCGAATTNTTTTTTTTTTTTTATTCAATACCAACACATCTTAATTTAACATGGAATGACACTCGTTTATCTCACCGTAGAAATTTTTTTTATANGGGCATTTTCTCAAAAACTGGTCAGTCGATTTTATTCTATGTTTCCACAAATTTAGCTTAAAACCTTAGTTTACATCTGGTATATAGCTTATATCTGGGTAAACTCTTGTTGTGGTGATATTGCGATTCGAATTTAAAAAATGTCGCTCCAAAGAGGGTCAAATGGTTAAAAATTAAAATATCCGTCTAATTTGGTTACTTTAAGATATAAAAATAACATACCCAATAACAAAAATAACATACCCAGGAAAAAATCGCCCATTTCCCGAATTCTACTTAAACCGAAATTCCCTGAAAATCGACAAGTTGAAGAATGCAGCTGTGCTAATCACTTCGTACATATCTTGGAAACCACAATTTGTGTGTATTTTAGAGTTTTTTCAGTCACATGCCGAAATTGTAACATTTTTTCCCATTTTAATTGCTGGTATGTACACAATATTTACCTATGCTAAATGTGTTTATCACCCGCACTTAACCTACCTGGAAGGACGCGTACAATATTACCTACAGTTATACATAAATATGTATGTATAAATGCATTTAGTTCATCCAATGCGCCGCTACTACTTACATACATATGTAGAAATTGCCACTGAGCAAAACTACTTGAGAAAAAATCATTAGTTTAATAGCACGAGTGCAACATCGTACACGTGATAGAAGTAAAACTTCTTAAAAAAGCACATGTGTGCCACCACACCTGGTAGAAATCTTAACCAAAATAAACTGCTCGACAATCAGACGAGTACAGTTTTTTATTGTATCCAATGTTGGTACCAAGTTGATAAGTTTTCATTTCAATTTTTTCGAATGCAAAGGATATGATAATTCATTTTCGCTTTATTCCGTATTCGAAAAATTATATGTTTCAATGGATACATCGATTTGAATACATAATTTCGATTTAGATAACATTTTTAGTAATTTATTTGAGAAAAATAAAACATTTAGATTACTGTTCGTATTTTGGTCGATTTTAAATGTGCTACACCAAAATAATTGATATCAAATAAAACACCTCTTTGAGGTAAAATTTTCGAGTGACGAAAGCTGAACTAAAAACACAGAGCTTATGATATCAATTTCGTGACGAAAATTATACGCATTTTTTATTTTCCTTGGAAACGTACGGAAAATCTTTTTTTATTTATTCCGAACGCTGCGAATTTCCGTTTACTGCTAGAAACACAATTAAAAAAACAGAACTTTTGCAACGATTCGTATTCATTCACGTCCCAATTTTTTTTTTTTTATTCAATACCAACACATCTTAATTTAACATGGAATGACACTCGTTTATCTCACCGTAGAAATTTTTTTTATATTTTATGCAAACTTTTTAAGCTTAAACTACTCAGTCATCTGAGGTAATTTTTTCAAAAAATATTTTAAAAAAAACTGTTTATTAATAAAAGAACTCAATTTGTGGAGGTATTTTCAGATCGTAAATCTTAATATTTTCGCGAGATATTTTGGTGGAAGTCTTAAAATATAATACATAGATTTTATAATTCCAGTGGAAAAACAGTACCGCTTTTTTTTTGCATGGGCAGAAATGCAGTTACTGTACATAAGTTGGCTATGATTACTCGGCTACTACTGATACTACTTTTTGTTGTTTGTGTGAAATATTTTACTTTTATCAGTATTTTTCTTTTAATCAAAATATGTTGAAATAAAAGTGAAAACATTTTTTTTTCAGAAGCGCCCCCCGCAAAAAAAACCTGGCTACGGCCCTGTGTACACATATCAAAAATGCAACACCTGAATCGCTGTTTTTATGACGTGTCAAATATTCGCTAACTTTTTAAACGACCCTGCAACAACACTGGAATTCATCAATATCACTCATGTGATAGCTTAATAAACGATAAACCAATTTACATTAAACAAAATGAAAAAATAAAATTAAGCCTAAAATTGACTTAAGAACGTCAGCCAGTGAAATGTATTTTTTTATTTTTCCTTACACACACTCATCCTTATTTTGACTCTCCCGAAAACTTTGACGTTTGATAGTTTGACGTCAAATTGGCGTCTACCCAAGGTTCATAGAATACAAGGTTACGACATCACCATGGCCGCCATCTTGATGACGTAGATGGCTCAATTTTTGGAGTTGCCAGATTCCTAAAAAATTATCTTATAAAAATACACTATTTTAGTCAAAATTACATCACTTTTTTTTAAATATTTTTATTANTAAAACACCTCTTTGAGGTAAAATTTTCGAGTGACGAAAGCTGAACTAAAAACACAGAGCTTATGATATCAATTTCGTGACGAAAATTATACGCATTTTTTATTTTCCTTGGAAACGTACGGAAAATCTTTTTTTATTTATTCCGAACGCNTTTATTAGGAAAAATTGAAAAAGCAACAAAGTCTAAGCGGTAGAAGTTATAGCACTATTTCGGAGATCACCACATCTCCTCATCAGACTTCTTTTTTCTAGACTTCAGCAGGGATCGAACCCCCCCTCAAGTCAAAGAATAATATTTCACTAACATGGGTCTAGAAAAAAGGCTCTTTAGAAGAAATTGTGCGTAATAAAGTTTCAAAACACGAATTTTTAAAATCATATATTCAGCTTTTCGCTTTATTTATAAAACATTTTGATAATTTTAAACACATTAAATTTTTCTTTTTACTTATAAATCAATGAAACGAAGAATTTTAAAATTTTTCGTGGTTTTTTGAAAAATTCTTCTAGAACTTCGTCAACTGAAAAATTTATATCTTTGTGAATATTCATAGATGCTAGACCGTTGAGCCTCTCTTGACATGTTGTATTTCTCAAGGAGGTTTTAATTCTTTTGAGGCATGAAAAGCTTCGTTCAGGTGTGGCTATTGAAACGGGCAAAAGTGCCAATATATGTAAGATCTTAAAAACATTCCTAAAAGACGCTGTATTAGCTACTTGTAATGCTTCGAGAGCATTTCGAAAATGTTCGTGTGAAACTCGTATTTTCCACATTTTTACCTCCAGAAGAAAGTTTTGTTTCGAGCAGTCGATTACTTTTTCATAGAAAGCAAACAATTCTTCAGTTTTTTTTCGTTAAAATCCTACTTTGGAAACAAAACACTAAAATTATTTAAAACTGATTTATGGTTTAGGAACCGGCTTTTCAAATGAGCAATATATGTATCAAGGAAGGGAATGTAAAAAGCAATGCAATAGTATGCCTCGCCGTCTCCGGTTTTCATATTAAAGCGATTCTTTTGGCGACTGCTGTATCGCGGTACTTTGATTTCTGTACCTAGGTTGGTGCATACTTCTTCTACGTGTTCGAAAAGAAAATGAAAGTTTTTTTCTGCATCTTGTCGCATTTCTTCAAATTCCTTTAAAGCGTCGTCGGCTAAGCTCATTGCTTCTGCAAGACCTTCATCAGGTACTTGTAATTGCCGGCTAGCAAAGCAACAACAATTTATAAAAGATAATAAAAAAAAAATATTTTTTAAANGAAAAATTTATATCTTTGTGAATATTCATAGATGCTAGACCGTTGAGCCTCTCTTGACATGTTGTATTTCTCAAGGAGGTTTTAATTCTTTTGAGGCATGAAAAGCTTCGTTCAGG